TTATCAGTGTAAAACATCTGCTGTTTGAATTGGAGGCACTGATAGGCGGCACTGATGAGCACATAGGAGGCACTGATGGGCACTAATAGGGGCACTGATGGGCACATATGAGAAGGCACTGATGGGCACATAATGAGGTGGCACTGATGGGCACATATGAGAAGGCACTGATGGGCACTAATAGGTGGCACTGATAGACACATATGAGGAGGCACAATAGGCGGCACATATGAGGAGTTATCGATGGGCTATGATGAGGAGACACTGATGGGCACATATGAGAAGGCACTGATGGGCACATATGAGAAGGCACTGATAGGTGGCACTGATGGGCACTAATAGGTGGCACTGATGGGCGCATATGAGAAGGCACTGATAGGTGGCACTGGTGGGCACTAATAGGTGGCACTGATGGGCACATATGAGGAGGCACTGATAGGTACTAATAGGTGGCACTGATGGGCACATATGAGGAGGCACTGATGGCACATATGAAAAGACATTGATGGGCTATTATGAGGAGGCAATGATGGGCACATATGAGGAGTTCTCGATGGGCTATGATGAGGAGACACTGATGGGCACATATGAGAAGGCACTGATGGGCACATATGAGGAGGCACTGATGGCACATATGAGAGGACATTGATGGGCTATTAGGAGGAGGCACTGATGAGGGGCACTGATGACTTTCTTATCAGGGCACTGATTATCAGTGTAAACATCTGCTGTTTGAATTGTCGGGTTACGGGCTCTCCTCTCCTCAAGCTGTGACAGTGCGTGAGGAAAAGACTGCCGATAACCTGTGGTTGGGTACAGCTGATCACTTGGTAAAGGGCCATTGTGATTGGCCCTTTACCGCAATCCGTGATCAGCTGTGTCTGAAGAACAGAGCACTCTGGGTGCACGCCCCAGGGTGTGGTTCTGTTAGTCACTTAGAAGATTGTCCTTTACTTTGATGACTGGATGGCAGAATGTTCCGCTTACAGACGGCCAAAAAGATATTCGGTGTCTTTGGTTACCTCCTGAGAGTTGAGAAGAAAAGCTCCATTGAACCCACTCTGATGGTCCTGCCATGTGATATCGATCCCAGAACAGTGCAGTCACCAACAGGGGGGAGATCACTTCATCACTGCTCAGTGAACCCCCAGTAATCTTTGGAGGGACCATAGGATTCCATGGAACCCTGGCGGGGAAAGGCTGCTCTAGAGCTGTCAATAGGATCTCTGGGTCCAAGGAAAGTTCTTACTGCAAGAGGAACGTGCTTGTGTCTGAGATGTATGGAGGACTGTGACTGACCAGAATTTCACCCTTATTAATTAAAGTATTTTTTTTTTAAGTTTACTGCATTACAAAGTTCCCTGCTGAAATCTCATTGGAAGGCTCTTCCATGTGAACCAGACATAATTTCTTCAGTCATGACTGATCCACATGATACGGATAAAGAGAGGAAGAAGACGACCCAGAGGATCTTAAACCTCACCCTTGAGGTCATGTACCTGCTGACTAGAGAGGTGAGGAGGATTCTGGGAGGTCACATGACATCACTCTTATCTCTAATAATAAAACACAGACCTGACCGGAGAGGTGAGGAGGATTCTGGGAGGTCACATGACAGCACTCTGATCTCTATTAATAAACACAGACCTGACCGGAGAGGTGAGGAGGATTCTGGGAGGTCACATGACATCACTCTGATCTCTATTAATAAAAACACAGACATCACCGGAGAGGTGAGGAGGATTCTGGGAGGTCACATGACATCATTCATCTCTAATGATAAAACACAGACCTGACCGGAGAGGTGAGGAGGATTCTGGGAGGTCACATAACATTACTCTTATCTCTTAATAAAACACAGACCTGAACAGATAGGTGAGGATGATTCTGGGAGGCCACATGACATCACTCTGATCTCTATTAATAAAACACAGATCTGACCGGAGAGGTGAGGCGGATTCTGGGAGGTCACATGACATCACTCCTATCTCTATTAAAACACAGACCTGACCGGAGAGGTGAGGAGGATTCTGGGAGGTCACATGACATCACTCTCATCTCTATTAATAAAACACAGACCTGACCGGAGAGGTGAGGAGGATTCTGGTAGGTCACATGACATCACTCCTATCTCTATTAATAAAACGCAGACCTGACCAGAGAGGTGAGGCAGATTCTGGGAGGTCACATGAGGTTAGTATAACTTGTACTAAGTAGAGATGATTGGAGAGCTGAGGGAATCTAAGTTGCACTATTTATCTATATTGAGAAGCTAGGTGGGAGACATGAAGGATTCTGGGAATGTCACATATGTCAGGGTTACCTTTATTAATAGAACAGAGACGTGAACTATTAGGTAAGGGTTTTTTTGTCACGAGCACACAGATTTAATGCCAGATCTGGTAATACAATATATATTCCTTAATACACAGGATTACATGTTAGTGAAGAAGACATCTGGTGACCATGTGACACCCAACCTTAATATGGATCCTCCAAGTCCCTCCATGATACCTGACCAAATCAATGTCAAGAGAATTCTGGATGTCACATATGAGATCATTGAGCTGCTAACTGGAGAGGTGAGCTGTGCCAGGAAATAATGGACAGTATTCAGTAACCAAAGGGATGTGTCTGGATGGTGACGGTATCATTGTGTGTGTAGGTATCACTGTCTGTTTCTCCATGTAGGAGTGGGAGTATTTGGAGGGACACAAAGATATATACGAGGACATCATGATGGAGAACCAATCGCCCCTCACATCACCGGTAAGAGGAGACTTTCATTTCTTGTATTGAGGATCCACCTAGATACACACATCCTCTGATATAAAGACATAGAAACAATAGATTCAGTCAGTGTGTGTGTTTCCTACAGATGGATCCAGTAATGGGAACCCACAAGAGAGATGTCCCCGTCCTCTGTATTCCCGGGACTCCACACAGGAACATCAGGAGATCCCTCAGGAGGATCAGGAGATCCCTCTGGAGGACCAGGTAGATTAGACTGATGTTCTTCATCAATTCCATGTTAAATTGCACACAATCTTGTTGGATGAAAAGGCTGTAATGTGTTTTGCAAAGTCTTGATTATAAGGGTATTATCCATTTTTCTATTATTCAGGATGATGATCTAATTGCTATTAAGGTTGAAGTTAAAGAAGAATCAGAAGAGGCATATGTGAAGGATGATGAAACATGTAAAGAAGGAGGTCCTCCACAAATCGGCACAGGTGAGTAATAAACACTAAATCCAGAGAAGAGTCCCAGATCCCAGTGCCAAAAAAGCTACTTTTGGTACCAAACGCGTTGCGTCCTTCAAGTGTGCATGCAACCTTAACCCAGAGAAGAGTCCCAGATCCCCCTTGTTAAGTCATTACAACAATCTCTTCTCCTTCCCCCTCCTCTGTCAGTAGACCAGTAATGGGTGGACAGTATGTGCCCAATGGGGGAGTCAGGAGCCATCAGCCGCTATTAGACTCTGGCTCTCCTCCTCACATCATGTCATTGTGTGTTGATGATTATGTATGCCACTATGCTTGCATGTCCTCCTTACTGGACAAAGTAGTGATTTCAGGAGTCGTGGTGTGCAGCGAGGGGCCAGGCATCTAATGCTGGATAATTCTTCAGCAGGCTTAGCTCTTCAAGAGAGCAAAACTTGGCCATAAGACAGGTAATGAATAATTCTTCTCTTTATAGGGAGACTTGACTCAATTTAATTGCTGGCTGCATCATCAATATGGTGGCCCTCAAAGGGCCTGTTGCATCCATAAGACTAGATGTCCAGAGCACCCCATCCCCCCTTACATCAGATGTCATGAGCCTCCTCACCATCAGAAGTCTAGAGTTCCCAACCCTCCCTTACATTACAGTGCAACCCCTATAACCTGGTGCTGCTGCCTGGAAATAGGGAAGCTGAAAGTGCAGGGCCTGGAAGAGGTCCAGAGGAGACTGGAGTCGGCTGCTGGAGACTGCTGAATGCTAAGACCAGGCGAGGCAGAGACAAGGGGGTGCTGCTGCTGCACAGAGAGGTGCAGGATCTGTCGGAGAAGTTTTGTCTTCCTCACTGCTGAGTTGGGGGCGGAGACAAGGGGGTGCCACAGCTGCTTGAAAGGTGTAAGGGCAAAATGGTGGGCCAGATTTGCCCGAGGTCCTTGTGTTCGACACATGTGCCTTAAAAGAAGTGTGGGCAATGCTTTCTTTAGCCATACTTCTCTTGTGGGTCACAGGAGTGTACTTTCTTTTGCTCTCCTGTGACCCGCATATCACAGAGCTGCTCCAGGGTCTGGAAGGATCCTAACAATATTGTCAGGATCCACCCAGCTGACAGATTAACAGCTACCTCTGATTCTCAGTGTGCCGATGAGAACCAAAGCGAGCTGCACCATCCCCTCTCCAACCTGGCTCTCTAGTGAGCACTGGAGGGGCAAAGCGGAGAATGGTGACTGACAGTCACCACTCCCCACTCTGAGAAGACCAAGAACTGAGCAATCAGTGGTCATCTGATCGCTCAGTTCTCGGCTTAGAGCTGTTGGGGGCAAATCTGCAGCATCAGACTAATGCTGCAGGACAGAAGTGAATATACAGTATTTGTTTGTTTTTTTTATCAACCCCATACATCTCCTTTAGATTCATGCAAGACAAAATTCTTCTCACATTTTATTCTTGTTTTACTCAGATGACCGACCCAGCAGGAAAAACTCAGAGAAATGTCCCATTATCTCTACATATGGTGAAATAGAACATGATGACATCACATCCTGTTCCTCAAAAGAAAACCCCATTGCTTCAGATCTTGATCCTGTACTTCACAGTTCAGATGTATTGGCTGATCTCTCTACACAAAGGGGGAGTTTTGATGATCGTTCACCTTCCATCTCCCATCGGATAGCTCATGCCGGATGTGAATTGTTTGCATGTGCTGAATGTCTCACAAAGAGAGCTGAACTTAGCACACACCAGAGATCTCACACTAGGGAGAAACCTTTTTCATGTTTAAAGTGCGGGAAATGTTTTCCTTGGAAATCACATCTCACCGCACATGAAAAAATCCACACAGGGGAGAAGTCCTATTCCTGTTCTGAATGTGGAAAGTGTTTTTCCTGGAGAAGAAACCTCACCATACATAAACGAGTTCACACAGGAGAACGGCCGTATGCATGTTCTGCGTGCGGAAAATGCTTTAGACAGAAGTCAGTTCTCGACATCCACGAACGAACTCATAGGCCAGAAAAGCCGTTCTCCTGTTCTGAGTGCGGGAAATGTTTTACTCAGAAAGGACAACTTGTTTCCCATCAGAAGACTCACACGGGAGAGAAGCCGTTCTCGTGTTCTGAATGCAGCAAGTGCTTCGGCTCAAAGTCAGATCTTATACGACATCAGAGAAGCCACACGGGGGAGAAGCCATTTTCGTGTCCCGAATGTGGGAAGTGTTTTTCTTACAGAGCCAATCTGGTTCAGCACCAGAGAGGCCACACGGGCATTAAACCCTATCCATGTCCCGAGTGCGGGAGAGGTTTTAAACGAAAGTCCCATCTGAACGAGCACCGAAAGATTCACAGCAGCGAGCGCCCCTTCTCATGTTTGGAGTGCAGGAGAGAGTTTGCCAATAGAGCTGCTCTGGCTAGGCACGAGAGACTCCACACTGGCGATTGTCCATATTTCTGTTCAGAGTGTGATAGAGGCTTTAATAATAAATCAGACTTGGTAATACACGAGAGAGTCCACTCCGGCGATCGCCCCTATTCGTGTTCAGCATGCGGGAGAAGCTTCTCCAGCAAATCGGCGCTGGGTAGACATGAGAGAGCTCACACTGGTGATCACCCGTATTTGTGTATTGAGTGTGGACAACAGTTTTCACATAAATCCTCCCTTATGTCACATCTCAGTTCCCATGAAAGACAAGAGGTTCCTGTGCCAAGAGGCAGCAGCTGAGTAACTTAAAGCTTGCATAAATGGGTACTGAGTGGGCAGTCACCCATACTCAGTAGAGCGGGAATGAAAGTCTCAACTGACCACTACCCTCTTTTTCCTGACGGGCTTTGTAGTCAGCCAACTGAACCTCCAGTTGCCTGTCCTATGTTGCCTTGTCTTGCTGGCTTCCAGTCCTGCCTTGCCCTATCTTGTCTGCTTCTAGTCTGCTCTGCAGGCTTCCAGTGCTCTCCTGCTATGCCATGCTTGCTGCCTTATTCTATCCTGCTGGCTTCCAGTCTTGACTTGCCCTACATTGCCGACCCGACTTCCAGCCATGCTCTGCTCTGCAGGCTCCTAGTGCTCTCCTGCTATGTCCTGCTCACTGCCTTACTCTATCTTGCTGGCTTCCAGTCTTGTCTTGCCATACCTTACCAACTTTCAGTCATTCTCTGCTGGCTCCCAGTGCTCTCTTGCTATGCCCTGCTTGCTGCCTTACTCTATCATGCTGGCTTCAAGTCTTGACTTGTCCTACCTTGCTGACTTCCAGCCATGCTCTTCTGACTCCCAGCGCTCTCTTGCTATGTCCTGCTCACTGCCTTACTCTATCCTCCTGGCTTCAAGTCCTGTCTTGCCATACCTTACCGACTTCCAGTCTTGCTCTGCTGGCTCCCAGTGCTCTCTTGCTATGTCCTGCTCACTGCCTTACTCTATTGCTGCTCAAGTCTTCAAGTCCCGACTTACCCTACCTTACTGACTTCCAGCCACGCTCTGCTCTGTAGGCTCCTAGTGCTCTCCTACTATGTCCTGCTTGCTGCCTTACTCTATCCTCCTGGCTTCAAGTCCTGTCTTGCCATACCTTACCGACTTCCAGTCATGCTCTGCTCTGCTGGCTGCCAGTGCTCTCTTGCTATGCCCTGCTCACTGCCGTACACTATCCTGCTGGCTTCCAGTCCTGTCTTGCCCTATCTTGCTGACTTCCAGCCATGCTCTGCTCTGCTGGCTCCTAGTGCTCTCCTGCTATGTCCTGCTTACTGCCTTACTCTATCCTCCTGGCTTCCAGACCTGTCTTGCCCTACCTTACCAACTTCCAGTCATGCTCTGCTCTGCTGGCTGCCAGTGTGCTCTCTTGCTATGCCCTGCTCACTGCCATACGCTATCCTGCTGGCTTCCAGTCCTGTCTTGCCCTTTCTTGCTGACTTCCAGCCATGCTCTGCTCTGCAGGCTCCTAGTGCTTTCCTGCTAAGTCCTGCTCACTGCCTTATTCTATCCTCCTGGCTTCCAATCCCATCTTGCCCCACTTCCAGTCATGCTCTGCTGGCTCCCTTGCTATGCCCTGTTTGCTGCCTTAGTCTATCCTGCTGGCTTCAAGTCTTGACTTGCCTACCTTGCTGGCTTCCAGTTCTGTCTTGCCCTACCTTGCTGACTTCCAGCCATGCTCTGCTCTGCAGGCTACTAGTGCTCTCTTGCTATGTCCTGCTCACTGCCTTACTTTATTTTGCTGGCTTCCAGTCCTATCATGCCCTACCTTGCCAACTTCCAGTCTTGCGCTGCTCTGCAGGCTCCCAGTGCTCTCTTGCTATGTCCTGCTCACTGCCTTACTTTATCTTGCTGGCTTCCAGTCCTATTGTGCCCTGCCTTACCGACTTCCAGTCCTGCTCTGCTCTGCTGGCTCCCAGTGCTCTCTTGCTGTGCCCTGCTTGCTGCCTTACTCTATCCTTCAGACTTCCAGTCTTGCCTTGTGCTGTTTTGCTCTCTCCCAAGCCTGTCTTTCCATGTCTTTCTACCTCTCTGTCTTGCCATGCTAGTAGTTTCTACTTCTTTCTTCTTTTGCTCTGCAAGTATTTAATCCAGGCTTGGCCTTCCTTGCTAGTTCCTAATCCTACCTGTGGTGTGTCTAAATTGCTCTTGCACTTAAAGGGTCAGTTGCCTTTTCTGGTTTACTTGTATTAGTGTCATTATAGCAGAACTAAACCCCCACAATTTATTTCCCAAAACATATACATTTAACGCATGCCGTGAATGATGATTGTTGCTGCTTTTGTTAGCTCTCAACTGAACTTTCAAGTCATCCAATGGCTGGTGTCACACATGAAACACTATGGCAACTGTAGATCAAACAGAGACTAAGATGGCAGCTTCCTTGGCTTGGAGAGTTTAGTTCCTCTTTAAGCTGATCGTTATTGTTATTTGTCCACTTGCTCACCATTATTGCACATTTTTTTTCCCCGCAATAAAATATTTTATTCATCCTGGAGTCATTGTTTCACTTTGGTAGTTTACCATTGTGGTTACATCGTTCTTACAGGAATCCCACATAGGTAGCCTGACATACGAGATGTAACAATTTTATTCCTGGAATTCGGTGGCGTAGCACTGGTGTTGGTGAGTCACACAGTCATTCGCACTCGAGCGTGTTCTATGTTCTAACATGCACTCTCCTGGGTCGCAGACCAGTTGACTTTACAGAGTAGTAGAAGATATAATGTGTGTGTGTGTGTTGTGTGTTGGCAGAATATAAGTGACAGGAATCTGGAGTAGCAGATTAACATCTAATTTCACATGAAAATTGGTAAAGGTGCAAGCAAAACTTGAGCTCAGTTATAACAGGGTTATGGTGAAACATTCCATGAAGAAATCAAGTGTTTTTGAATGGCGTAGGCGGTTTAAGGAGGAGCAGGAAGAGGTCCATGATGACACAAGAAGTGGGCAGCCAAAAACGCAAAGGAGAGACAGTGTAGACAGAGTGTGAAACCTTATACACTCATGTTGGTGTTTTGTTTTTTTCATCACTAGGGGATAGTTTACTACAAGTCCATAGAACATGGTACAATGGTCAACCAACATTGTTACTTGGAAAATCTGAAAAAGTTTATGGGAAACTATTTGGAGAAAAAAACGGAAACTCTGGCCTGACAATTAAATTGTCACACTGTACTAAGGCCCAATAGACAAGGTGATGTATTGGAGAACACAACTGTTTATCCTGCCTCTACTGAACACTGCTGCAGTGGCTCTATGCCCTGACACATCCAAAATGCAGACATGGAAGACCCACATTCTAAGTCTGCTCCAAAAGATGCACACCATGAGTTAGCTTCAGAAGACCCACACCCTGAGCTTGCTTCAGAAGACCCACACCCTGAGCAAGCTCCAGAATATCTACACTCTGAGTTTGCTCCAGAAGACCCACAACCTGAGTCTGCTCCAGAAGACCCACAACCTGAGTCTGCTCCAGAAGACCCACACCATGAGTTTGCTGCAAAGAACCCGCACCCTGAGTTTGCTCCAAAAGACTCGCATCCAGAGTTTGCTCCAAAAGACGCACACCCTGAGTTTGCTCCAAAAGACCCGCACCTAGAGTTTGCTCCAGAAGACCCACACCCTGAGTTTGCTCCAGAAGACCCACACCCTGAGGTTTCTGCAGAAGACCCATACCCTGAGTTTCTCCAGAAGACCCACATCCTCATTCTGCCTCAGAAGACCCACAACCTGAGTCTGCTTCAGAAGACTCACAACCTGAGTTTGCTCCATAAGTCCTGCATCCTGAGTTTGCTCCAGAATACATTCACTTTGAGTCCATTCAAAAGTTGTCTACTGACCAGATCTGATGGTAACTTCATGATGCCAGTCTCACCAAAGATTCATAGTGTTGCCACTCTAAAAAATACTCTTATATTTAAGTTATCAGTCTCCCTAGATACTGCCTGAGTTGCTTGTCTCACTTAAGAAAAACCCATTGGTCATATCTCTTGCCCATGATAATCCTCTCTTTGTTGCTGGTCCCACTCAAGACTATTCTATCAGAATTGCCAGCCTCTCTGAAAACTATGCAGAGTAGTCAATGTCAGGATGATCTGGTCACAGTTGCATGTCTTGCCTAAGCTGCCTATACCCTTTGAGACAACCTTGCCAGAGCTTCTAGACTCTATAGAGACTGACCAAATTAAAAAAGACTATGTGAATAGAATATATGTTTGAGCTATCAGTCTGTCCTGAGATTGTCTTGCCTAAACCACCATATTCTCCTGTGAAATATCTTGACTGAGTTGCCTTTCTTTCCTGACACTGTCCTGTGTGAACCAACTCACTCTCTAGACTGTCCTGTATGAGCCTTCTACAGTATATCTCCCCCATCTGTCCTGGCTAAGCTGAAGGGTTTCTGAGGTGCCAATTGTCTTTAAAGGCAGGGAATTTTATTTTCTCAGACACTGGTAGTTGGGTACCCAGCCTTCTGCCAGACACGTGTGGTGAAGTACCCAATTTTTGCCAGACCTTCTGGCTGAATCTTATTTCTAGGAGGCATTACTTTCCTACCTTTCCCAAAGGTGACATCTTAGAAGTCTGTTTTACCATGTAGTGTTGGCTACCTGGTATCTCAGTGCTATCCTGTTTTGTTAGTTCCTAGTCCTGTCCTAACCAGTCAGTCCTAAGCCTTGTCCTGCTCTTCTAGTTCTTGGTCCTGTACTGCCCAGTCAATCCTCAGCCTTGTCCTGCTCTGCTAGTTCTTGGTCCTGTACTGCCCAGTCAAGCCTCAGCCTTGTCCTGCTCTGCTAGTTCTTGGTTCTGTATTGCCCAGTCAATCCTCAGTCTTGTCCTGCTCTGCTAGTTCTTGGTCCTGTACTGTCCAGTCAATCCTCAGCCTCGTCCTGCTCTGCTAGTTCTTAGTCCTGTACTGCCCAGTCAAGCCTCAGCCTCGTCCTGCTCTGCTAGTTCTTGGTCCTGTACTGCCCAGTCAATCCTCAGCCTTGTCCTGCTTTGCTAGTTCTTAATCCTGTATTGCCCAGTCAATCCTCAGCCTTGCCCTGCCACTTACCAATCTTGTCCTGCCCACTCATCATTAGTCTTGTCCTGTCCAGTCAGCCCCAAATCCTGTCCTGTTGAGGAAAGTGGAAAGATAGTGCAGGATCTGTAGGGCTACCTGGTTTTGACAGGTACCATCTCCCACTTCCGGCAACAAACTGAGCTGGAAGTTCAGCCCCCTCCTTCTCCCTGCAGCCCTCTGGGATTCTTCACAGATCCCA